ATTGGTTATATCTTAACTTGTAGAAGTTATTTTGGAATTTGTACTGCCGTTAGATTTTTTGAAATTATATTATGGTTAGGAATCCCTAGAATTTCTGAATAGTGTGTCATTGCGTTGGTATCTGTACCTCTTCCCTATTGGGTTTTAGAGTGATGTATTTTCATGAGTAGTGGCAGAGGAGAGCAGAAGGATACTTGGTTCTTGACTAGTACCTGATGCGTTGGTGTAGCAGCGGTCCTCGGCAAACTGGGCTGGGGCATGTGGAGTTTCTCATTTTCCAAAACTATTAGGTCGTCTGGAAATTCATGATGCATTTTTGCATAGAAAAACAGAAAAATACATCATGATTTTTCCAATAGCTGTCTTTGGACTGCGTAATATTTTTTCTGTTTCATCTTTTGCATTATCCAGATGTGACTCTAACGGCATTGGAGGAAGAGTAAAGAGTGAGTGGTACCAGACGCACTGACCTTTTCCTGTAATTATCTCTCCAGTCGTACACATGACCTTGGACTTGCCCTGCAGTCTGATCAGTCAGTTTAGTAACCTTTCTGTTTGTCAGTGGGCATGGAACTTTCCTTTCCTAGCTGTTCACATTAGTTTTCTGAGTATTTCCCATAAAACAACTTTATGAAAGTAAATCTCTAGACATTAAAATTACCTGTGATGATTTAATGATAGATTATTTAGTAAGTGCCCTCAAACCTTTGTCAGCATACTTTCTTTAAGCCAATAGTTTGTTTTTTTTGAGTAATTAATCCTTATTTTTTCTTTGTTTATGATAGGGTGCATGTTCGTGCATATGAGAGACAGAGAGGCTGAGAGAGAAGAAGAGAGAGAGAGGAGCACCATTCATAGGGTCTGGTCGCACCACATCCCCTCCCTCCATTCATTTAGTCTGTCGGATCTTGGGTGCTCACATGCATGCCTGGCATGTTTCAGGCTGACCAGGCTTGAGATTTGAACTGGGGAAGCTACGTGGGGTCAGGCTTCTCTTGAGCAGCACATTACCACCATGCTACAGAACCAGACCAGAATGACTAATCTTTAATGGTTCCAACTTAAAATATTTAGCTTTAGATAGTAAGATTAAGAATCTAATAGGACTGTGGGACCAGCAGTTAGTGTAATGGCTATGTTGCTGAACTCCCATATAGCCGACCGTGGTTCGAGTCCCGGACCCGGTGGCTTATACTCATGCTGGATGCGTGTGTGTGCATGCCCAAGATCCCGAGAGGAGAATGGAGGAGAAGGGATTGCGGCGTGGCCATCCTCCCAGGCGGTGATTTCTCACTTTCTGTCTCTCTGTCTCTCTCTGTCTTTCTGGTGAGTGCACGTGCCCTATAGCAAAAAAACCTCTCCAAAAAAAAAAAAGAATCTAATAGGGCTAAATAAATGTAACAAAAGACGTGTAAAATTTGTACTTTAAAAGCTATAAAATGATTTTGAAAAAATTAAGGAAGATCCAAATAAGTGGAAAGACATCCTGTGTTATGAATTGGAAGAGTTAATATTGTTAAGATGGTGATAGTCCCTAAACTGATTTATAGATTCAGTGCAGTCCTCATACAATTCCAACTGGTTTCTTTGGAGAAATGGTTGAGCTGATCCTAAAATTCAAATGGAAACTCAAAGGATCTATATTAGTCAAAACAATCCTAAAAGAGAAGAACACAGGTGGAAGACCCACACTTTCCAATTTCAGCACTTACTGTGTGGCTGTTCCCATAGCCTAGTGGTTAAGGGAGCTGGATCCCACATGGCCAATGCGGTTCTAGTCTCTACCCCAGTGGCTTGAAAACTATGCCAGGCACATGTGTGTGCATGTCCCAGATCCTAACAAGATAGAGAAATGTAGGAGAAGGGATTGCGGCATGATCATTCCCTATGAGGGTTGTTTTCTCCTTCTCTCTCTTCCTTTTTCTTCCTCTTCCTGTCTCTGTTTCTCTCTAGTAAATACTCATGCCTTCTGGTAATTAAAAAAAAAAATAAAAGAAAGGAGTTACAATAATCTAGGTTGTGTGTTACTGCCATAAGGATAGACATGGAATCCTTGAGATAAAAATTGAAAGTCTAGAATTAAACCCATATATTATATATGGTCAGCTGATTTTTGACAAGGCTACCAAGACCATTCAATGAGGAAGCAACAGTATTTTGAACAAGTGGTGCTAGACAAATAAATAGCCACAATGTAAAACAAAATGACTTTGAGGGAACAGCAGTTAGAGTAATGGCTGTGTCACCGAACTCCCATGTAGTCGACCATGGTCAACTGTGGTTTGAGTCCCGGACCCAGTGGTTTAAACTCATGCTGGGCACGTGTGTGTGCATGCCCAAGATTCCGAGAGGAGAATGGAGAAGGGATTGCGGCATGGCCATCCCCCCTGGGGGGGTGATTTCTCGCTTTCTGTCTCTCTGTCTCTCTCTGTCTTTCTGGCAAGTGTACACGCCCTATAGCAAAAACCTCTCCAAAAAAAAAAAAAAAAGACTTTGGACCCCTTATTTATCCCATGTAATAAATGACCTTAATATGGATCATAAACATAAGAGTTAGAACTATAAAATCCTTAGAAGAAAACATAGATATAAATCTTATTGATATTGAATTAGGCAAATCCTTCCTGGCTATGACACCAAAAGCACAAATGACAAAAGAATAAATTGTACGTCATTAAAATGACAAACTTTTGTGTTTCATTTCCCCAGGACGGTAAAATGACTACCCACAGAATGGGAGAAAATATTTGCTAACCATATATCTCATAAGTAATCTGTATCTAGACTATATAAAAATCTCTTAAAACTCAGTAATAAAAAGCTCAGTTAAAACTGGGCAAAGTGACTGCTAAACAGAAGAGATCTTTTTTGAGAACGATAAAAATGTAAATAGTTTGTGGTGATTGTTGCATAACTGTATATAGTAAAGATCATCAAATTCTACATTTGAATGGGTGAATTGTATGGCACATGAACTGTATTTCAGTGGGACCTCTATGTTTAACAAAAGGGAAATAGGACTATGTACAGGCTAGCAATTTTCTGGGAACCAAGTAATGGAGGAAATAATTTTAACCATGACATAAATGTAAAGGTTATTGAAGTGAGACTAAAAAAACTCT